AAGTTCAAGGGGGCCGAATACTTTCGCAAGGCACTGTACATGGTAAAATTGCTTCTTAAGAAGAACGTGATCAATTACAAAGATGTTTTGTAGAGAGAAAAACAAATCCTAATATGGAAATTAGAATGAGGTTTGTGAATTTGCTGTATTAAACTCATTGCATTTACCATCTCATTGGAGAGGTTACTCACAGAGGCCATGACTGATAGAGGCCAGGGGGAAATTTAGCCAAGACATCAGCGTTAACACTCTTACTCTTTTCGAACAATGCCCTGGGATTTTTAATGACCACAGAGCATCAGGCCCTTTTTTACTGCAGACAGGTGAGTAAATCTCGGTAACAAAAAATTCATTGACGTTACAGAAAAATTTTACAAACTTCGAATTAAATGGAAAATCTGAAACTTTGTTAAAGTACTGCAAGTTGCCAAATTGTCGCAAACTTGCATTCAAGTTCCTAAGAACTGGAAGGTGATGCAGCCCTTCCTGCTCACTAGTCACTGTAATGACCAATGTACTGTGATGGACGAGCAAATAAGTCGTGCAGCAGACATTTCACTGCAGAAATGTTTCAATGTGATCTGCATGCAGAGTTAACGAGTAGTAGTCAGCAAAATGGTCATGAAGTCGAAAGAAATTTCTATTGGATTAAAAGAGATATATTCACAAGTCTACTTGTTTACAATCTAATAGGGCTGCTTCACCTCACTGGAAGTTTAGTTGCCCTGTTCCGAATTTCAGAATATGGTGCTAAGCATACCTGGAAATTAAATCTATTTTGAGATGTAAATTGGAGGTTTTACAAGTTACTGTGTAGATTTTACTTTTATTATGGCTTGAAATGCACTCATCAATACTGAATCTTTCTATCCCCAAAATATAAAAATAGCCTTGCAGTTCCCTTTTATCTGGATTCTAGGTACTATAGAGGCATTTGATACTTAAATTTGAATTTTAACATCAACAATTAAACCCTCACCATGTCCTTTTCAGCTTCCACCAACTTCACAAGGCCTTGACACTATACCATAATTAATAATTAATAATGATTGCTTACACTTATATAGCTCTTTTCTGGACACTCCACTCAAAGTGCTTTACAGGTAATGGGGACTCCCCTCCACCACCACCAATGTGCAGCATCCACTTGGATGATGCAACGGCAGCCATAGTACGCCAGAACACTCAC